CCCCCCCCCCCCCCCAAAATAACTCATGCCCTAAATGTGTTTGAAGTCGCTGAACTTTGTCGCACTCAACCCACCCTCGATCGGACACTTGTAGCTTGGCAGATCACTGAAATATAAACAAAATCCTCTACGTCAAGTTTCGGCGTCGATATGTGGGCATAAAAAGATTCAATCTTTATCTAGTAAAATCTTCCCCAAAATCGGTTTCAAAGCAACTATAGTTCACTTTTAAACTTGATCGTTTCGCGCACTGAGAGATAAATTATAAATTAAGCGTATGCTTTGTGTTGTCAAGTTGAACATGCATAACAACTTGAAAACAATGTCCGAGTGAATAAAGAGGACGCTCACTTATAAACACAGAATCTGGGGAAACATTGGTTAAATTTGAGGCCCTATTTAAAAGCCTCCCTGTTTTCAGTGTTCTTGAAACTTGCGGGAAATAATTATTTACAATTGATCTCGAGATTGTCGAATTTCTAAAAAATATTATCGAGCGGTTTTTTGAAAAATGCAAAATTTGTAGGCATGGACCAAATCACGTCCAAAACCTGTATCAAAAGAAGCTGAATGCAAGTTAATAAATTCTTCTTACTCGCGATCGCCTAGAGCAATTCCCCTTTTTTTTTTTGTATGCAGTTTTCCAATGGAATCAAACCACTATGGGATGAAGCCGCGTTTCCAAAGCTTATCGGTTACTTAAAATATTAGCGAATTGTGTGGATAGCATGCTATTCACTGTTTTATCACTGTTAAAACTGCGTGTCAAAATATTTCGAAAACGCTCTCGTAGAATTTGTTTAAACTTTACCATGATGGTATGGTGGTAATTATGGCAGGTACATACTCCCTTAAGCGATGTCTTCAAAAGACTCTTGGTACAGAGAATGTTACGAACGTGTAACAAGATTTGTAACGAGTGGGACCAGCGACATTCAAATAACAGCAACACGTTTATTATAAACGAATATAACTTACATACACGATCAGAGTGAACACAACTAGCTCTAAGATACGAGTAAATACAGAGTTCGAAGCTTACTGTATCCGCTGGCACAGCCGCCAGTTCAGTTCCTAACATCAACAGATGTAATTGTCCGAAGACAATGTCAACATAAATCCATAAATGAGGGGAAAATCATAACCCAAAGCGGGCAAGCTAAGCATAGCCCCAAAAACTCCTGTTGCCTTCAACAAACTTGTGGGCTCCTCTCTTATGCCCAAATATGGTCAAGGCAGTAAGTATGCCATATTTGGCAAAACTTACAGGTACATGTACATGTAACAAGAAACACAAAGATAAATAAAAAGCGTAATGGCGTCATTACGTTGCCATGGCGACATTATAAGAAATTTTCATCTTTATATAGTACAGTTGCGGTAACCTTTTCCCCATATCTTTACTCATGCCGACGTAGTTAATGCTCAAACGTGGGAGGTATTCCCCCCAAAACATCTAGTCGAGCCACCTTAAACAAAATTAAAATTACATTATTGCAAAAACTTCTTGCTGACAACGAAGAATTGAATTTTTTGTACGAAAACAACCTACCTAAAGATCTTAAAAGAAAAAGATTAGCTGCAGTGAGCTTCGCAGCCAAGCCATGATTCGCCATTTAACTATTTTTAAATAACTCAGTGAATTAGTCCATGCGAGGGTCTTCATTCTAGCAAATCAAACTCAGCCAATCATTAGGAAATACAGAAAACTACACATAAGGGTATTTGTTTTGCTCGCCAAACAAATCCAGCTCCAGCAATTTTTTACGGGCAGAGTCACCTGATTGTTTTAAAGTCACTGTCGGCAGTTGTCGTTCTCTACTTCACAGGGAGTGAAAAGGAACATTTGAGTACAGAAAGTTTTTCCTTGTAAAGAACAGAAGCTTTCACAGTGCACTGGAAAACAAAACTATGTAATTAAACATGGAGAATACTCTGACTGTTATAACTTGAGATACAGAAAAATGATCGAAGTAGTCTTTTCGTCTCGAGTAAGCTTGCTGGCCTCCTATTTCCGTGAAAGTTTTAAGCGCACAAATGGTTCTTTGACTGAAGAGAAGGATAAAGCTGGTTCTGCAAAGGCAATAAATCTGGGCATGTAAAAAAGTATTTACTAATTAGTAATAACAGAATACAAGCGGGGTTTAATTCAGCCTGGCGAAAGAAGGCAAAATCAACTCACAAATAAATCGAATGCACAATCAGAAAAATACTCGCCTCTTTGGAAATGTTGAAAACTTTTTATTCCACCTCAGACGGAATGATGGAATGATGGAATGATCCGTTTTTCCGTTAACATTGGTTGTTCTCAGTCCGAAGTAATTTTTAAGTGACGAAAAACAAAAACTGCACTAAGGTAAAAAGGCTTTTCGAGAAGCAAACGTTTACACCTTGTGCATTTCATTCAGTCTCAGTCAGAACTCTCAGTGACAAATAAACACAGTCGAACACAGTCAGAAAAGCCCGCCTTGAGCCTGCAATAAGGGATGCGCAGAAGCTTGCGCAGAACGTTTTTCCGCCCTGAAGTGCAGGGCATGTTTTTTAGGGTCTTGGACCGGAATCCTTTACAAGAATGTGAAGGTTGGATATAAGCACTCTACATTTGTGGTATGAACAATTTTTTACCAAAAACTCCATTTCCACGATGTTAGTTTGAAAAATTACTTAATTCTGTATGCGAAACGAAACGAATCAGGGTCTCTTTTCTTAAGCAGGGTCTGGGTTCGTGAAGGCCTCGGCGGCAAAACTTTACCCAAACCTTCCTAGAGTACACCCCTCAGGTATGATGTTTTTCTTGAGATTTAGTGAAGGGCCCAGTAAAACTTTGGACTGGAGCACTATGTCCTTTAGTCCCCCGTTGGAATAAATACTTTTACCATAGCTTAACAGTCCGAAGAGGCGACACCCTCTCTGTCTCGTTCGGTCATGATATATGTCTGAGTGTCCTGGCCTTGAGTATTGCTGAAGACCCACTACTGAAGCTATCACATTGGTAAGATCCATATCTATCTCATTTTGAAAATCAAAAACACGCCGCCAGTGAGAAATCAAGCGCAATAAATATAAGCTGAAAAGTCAAAATGAAACACTAAAACAAAAAAAAACTAAATCAAAATCAAATCAAAAAAATTTTTTTTCTTTCTAATCAAAGACAAAATATCAAAATCAAAGAGTAAAAGGCAAGAATCAAAATAAATGAATTTTATAAGTGATACTCCTCGAATACGGTAGACATCAAATTGGGCACAAGATATTTAAAGTGAAAATATTGTAAATTCCTCATGGGCCATCCGGTTGGGTCTAATCTAACTCTTTTCTTTTATTTGGCTAAGTTTTTTTTTCTTGACTTCATTCAATGAGGGTTCTTTCAGCTAGATTCCACAGTAAGTATTCGTATAAAGGCAATGGACTACTTTCTTAAATCTTCAGAAGTCTTTAAGTTGCGTGAATTCGTCAATCTGTTCCAATCTCCGTTTTCCAGATACATATGAAAGATATTTATTGATTCAATGATGATTTTTTGTTTTGTTTTTTTTTGGTTTTGTAATTTTTTTGCCTAACTATTGTATTTATGGGTGTTCGGGGGGGGGGGTTTACGCCCGCCGGAGGGGGGTGTGTGGGGTTGTCGGGGGTGGCCGGGGGGTGGCCGGGGCCGGTTCCTGCCTGGTGTGACACCCCNACCAATCGAAAACGCCAACATGTGTCCTTGCGACTCTGTGGGATTCGAACACGATAATGTGTACAAATTCGCAGACGCTCTACACAGAAGGTTTAGAGCATCTGCGACGCCGACAAAGCAGCATGTAACGCCCTGATCATGAGCTCAATTTTTTCCAGTAAAACCATGACGAGGTCTATTCCCCTCCACGGGCTCTTAAGTGTTTGGTTGTAGAATTGGACAAGAACAAACGATCAGGGTATTCAAGACTTGTATTTTTGCGTTTTTATGTGGCTGCTCGCAATCATAAAACGAATTAGACACTTTGAATCCGTTTCGGTAGTCGCATTAACGGGGTTCCACTTCACCTAGCAGCGCGTAAAGAGAATAAATTAACTTCAAGTTTCCACGCTTAAAGGTGATGTTTCACGGGAAGATTCGCAACGACGATTTTAAGCGCAACACAGCGTTGCAATGTCGAAACAATGTTGCAACGCTCTGTTGCGCTAAAAACTGTTGCGAATAATCTCTTGTAAGAATATCTTAAGGCCTAACGAACAGAACCGTGCGAAAAAAAGGACTGCTCCTCAGTCTAATGTGATAACCATTTCTTGGCAGATCTCGGCTGTAAAACACCGGACTAACGATGGCTTTTAGAAGACAGCTTACTGGGGTTACAATCCACTGTAACAGATGTCGCATGGAGCTTGCTAGAAGAGAGATGCTTATGCTGGCCACAATTCCACCGTCACATCTACACCTTGCTGTGAGACAAGAAAGAGAAGCAGACGCATTTGAAAAGCTCAACAAGGTGGAAAATCCAAAAGGTGGAAAAAGCGCTCAATATTGTCCTTACATAGTTTTTTGTCGACAGTGTGACACGCACGTGGGAAATGTTTCGATATTATCATCAAAACAGTTTGTCTGCTATAAAATAGACAACATATACCTTATAAACAATGGTAAGGAGATTCGAGGGACGAAACTGTCCAAAATACGTACAAGACTTGAAGAGGAGTGTTGCATTGAAGTTGTGAATGTGTCTTCTTCAATATGCCAGTCCCAGCTCCAACCAAGCGAGCCCATGATTTACTGTGACACCTCGGGGCTAACACACGCACCCAAAGAAATCGATTTTTTAACCCAACGGTGTCCGCGGGACTATCAACGGGAACTGTTTCTATCTGTCATGCGCAGAAACACCCTGGTCTGCTTACCCACGGGTTCGGGAAAAACCTTGGTGGCAGCGATGGCACTGAGTTGTATGAAGAAACTCAACCCAAACAAGCTAATGGTGTTTCTCGTTGACAGAGTCCCACTGGTTTACCAACAGAGTGAATATATCAGGTCTCAGGTGCCTAAACTGAGAGTGATGATGCTGGTCGGTGAAATGGAATCGCAACAGCAGAAAGCCGTCCATCAAGCGTTAGCAAATCAAGAAGTTGATGTTTTGGTCCTGACACATCAGATTTTTCTAAATTTTCTGGCTATTGAGAAAAACCCGATCGTTCGTTTATCTGATATATCAGTCTTGGTTTTCGACGAGGCGCATCATTGCCGGGGAAGACACCAGTATAATCAGATCATGGAATACTATCATGTTACACCAAACAAGTTTAAACCTATTGTTCTGGGTTTAACGGCGTCACCAGCTGGAGGAGTAACAGTTGAAAGGACCACAGATCAACTTAAAGAATTGCTTAATAACCTCAGCTGTGAAGTTTCTACCCCCATTGAGTCAAACGACCTTGCAGGAAATGTAAACAACCCAGATACATTATACTGCACAGTGCCTGAAATGAACACTCGCCAAGTTGTCCTCCTGAGAATAATTCAAGAGCATATTCAGAACTTGAAGACCACTTATTTAGAAGACGCACATAGGTGGCAACGGTTTGCTGGGTTCCCTTTGTTTTCGTCTAATTTTAGAGGAGCGCTAAGACGACTGAATGACAGTTGCTATGGTGACAAAACCAAAAACAAAACCATTATAGCTGGCGAGCATATAATGCAGATGCTTAGCATTGTACATGTTCGCGAGGTTCTTGGCTATGACCGTGCAATGGAATGTCTCAGAGAATGCGTACGTAACATCACCCTTGAACGTTCTCCACAGGGCAGTGCCTTGTCGAAAATGGTTGGAGAAGACACCACTTTTCGTTGTCTTCGAGAATTAGCGGACAGTTCGGTTGACAAAGAGTCTCCCACATTGGACAGGTACAATATCCTTGTGACACACATTAAGCAATTTATGCGCCAAGCGCAACAGGATGGAAATTCAAGTTTTTGTTAGTATGCGCAAAACAGCTTATAAGCTGTGTGAACAGATCAGAACGCTTCACAAGGTGCCTGAAACGTTGAACCCCGAAGTTTTTGTGGGCCACGGTCAGGGAAGTTATGACGGGATGGCTTGGACAGATGAACAAGACGTGCGGTTAAGATCAATCAATCAATCAATCTTTATTTAAACACGGTAAAATCCATCAGGAATTTAAAAATTAAAGATAACCTAACTATCCTAAACAAAATTCAAAACCTAACTACAACTAATCTAACTAAAACCTGTTTTTCATGAATGCCGTGTATAACATTAAAAATGAACATTAACTAATCTTTTAAATTGACTAAGAGATTCGGCTTCTCTCACATGACAGGGTAGGCTGTTCCAGAGAACTGCTCCGCTATAAGTAAAGCTGTTTTTCATGAAATTAGTTCGCGGAAATGGGACAAATAGTTTGTTAACAGAGTCCCTCAGGGAGTAACGCGTTTCATTTCGTTTAACAAACTTAGATGATAAATATTCAGGAACAAGGCCATTTAAAGACTTGTATACCATTATGGATTTCTGTATTTGAAATTGAGTGTTCAAGTCTTTCCAATCGAGTTGTCTAATCAAACGGTTAGCATCAGCATCATAGCTAGAGAAGGTTAAAACGCGAGCGGCACGGTTCTGAAGCTTCTGTAGCCTGTCAAATAATGTTTTACCACAATTACCCCAGACAAGATTGCAATAATCGAATTGAGATTGAATTAGTGAGTTGTATATATAGTGAAGGGTAGGTGGAGGGACAAAAGGTCTAATTCTTTTTATTGCTCCAATTCCGGAAGCGACCTTTTTAGATAATTTATCAATGTGTGTTTGCCACCGTAGATTTTCATCAATAAATATTCCAAGCGATTTGACAGAGGAAACGTGTTCTATCGGAACATTATTAATCGAGAGCTCAAGTGGGTTCGACAAAGTACTCAATTTTTGTCTGGAGCCAATTAGCATGAATTCAGTTTTAGAAGTGTTCAAAGTAAGTTTATTAGAAATAAGCCATTTGTTTAGGTTATCTAAATCGTGACTCAGAGTTAACTGTATTGAATTCACATCAACGCCAGCATAAGTAATGTGGGTGTCATCGGCATACATTCTAGGCTGGCACGAAGTAAGGCAGTTTGGCAAGTCATTAATATAAATAAGAAATAAAAGGGGGCCAAGGATTGTTCCTTGCGGTACCCCACATTTAAGAGAGCAGATTCTAGAAAGAGAACCGTTAACAAGACATCGTTGTGTACGATTAGTTAAATACGACCTAAACCAATCAAGAGCTGTACCTTGTATTCCGTAAAGGTTCATTTTAGCTAGAAGGATATCGTGGTCAACGGTGTCGAAAGCCTTTTTTAAATCGAGGAAAACCACAGCATTAACATTGCCACGATCAATATTAAAGGCCCAATTATCCGTAGCTTCCAGAAGGGCAGTTGCAGTTGAGTGTAACGAGCGAAAACCCGATTGATAATTAGAAATGATATCTTCATTGGTCAAAAAGTTATACAACTGATCATAAACAATCCTTTCAAACACTTTAGCTATAACGGAAATGACTGAAATAGGTCGATAATTATTCAGATCAGATGGCTCACCTTCCTTGAACAACGGAGTAACTCTAGCACATTTCCAATCATCAGGAAATATACCAGAGACTAAAGATTTATTAAAGAGATCACATAGTGAAACTGAAATAAGATCAGCACATTCACGTACAATTTTAGCAGAAATATTATCAAGACCAGTTGCTTTAGATCTACATAATTTGTTTAGATGTGAGAAAACAATGCTGCAGTTAGTCGAGGAGAAGCTGAAATTGTTGTTATTTACCTTTATATTATTGATATAACTTGAATTATTTTCAGCAGTTAGAGGTATTTCATTAGCAAGTCTGGGCCCAATTGTTGAAAAATGGTCATTAAAAGCATCAGAAAGCTCACTAGAATTAGAGATAATGGTATCATTCAATTTCAGTTCCTTCACCGTTGTATTATTCACACGACGGGATGTAAGCTCATTAAAGGTTTGCCACGTTTTTCGAGGATTACCCTTAGATTGAATAAATGCATTAGAATAATAAGATGCTTTAGAAATTTTGATGTCATTGTTTATTATATTTCGCAACTTTTTGTACCTTTTCCAATCGTGTGGATCATTCGATGTAATTGCTTTTCTTTTGGCAGCATCACGATCACGCATGCCTTTCTTTAATTCTGAATTGATCCAGGGTGCTTTATTTGTTCTAGTACGTCTAGTTCGGAGTGGCGCATGAATATTAACAATATCCAAAAACTTCGTTTTCCAGTTAGTCCACAAAACATTTGGATCTTCAGAAACATTACAGGACCAGTCTTGCTGGGCGATATCGTTCCGAAAACTCTCTCTATTAAAATTTTGGAAATTTCTATAAGAAATGGTTGAGTGCCCTTTTGAAGGAAAAGTGAGAGATAATTTCCTATAAACGTAAATAAGGCTATGATCGCTGATACCAATATGAGAGACTCCGGAACAGACTACCCTGTCAGTATAGTTTGTATAAATTAAATCAATTAATGTTGAAGAGGATTCCGTTATGCGAGTAGGTTCAGTTATAAGCTGTTGAAGCCCAAATAAATCAGAAATTTCACATAAGCGTCGAGTATTTAAATCATATTGTGCAGAGGCCAGGTTACAGTTTAAATCACCTAGCAGATAATATTCTAGGCCGAGGGAATCTAATTTCTCAAGAAATGATTCGTAAGGTAAAAATAAATCAATTGAGGAGCAAGGAGGTCTGTACCAAGTGGCTATCAGAAATGGCCTGGAGTTTGGTTTCCGAATCTCTATACATAAATTTTCAAGACTGGGTGCATTCAAATCAGAGCGAACTCCAAAATTAATCGAGGTTTTTATATAAAAACCTACTCCTCCTCCTTGTCTGTTTCTATCACGACGAATAAATTCATAGCCTGGTATTTGGACCTCACAACTATTGATAGAGTCATCAAGTTTAGTTTCATTAATTGAGAGAATATCAATGGAGCGATCGGCAAGGAGAATTCTTAGTTCATCAATATGCTTTGTAAGACTATTAATGTTTAAACCTGCAATTTTAAAACCACGACCAGAAGGAAGAAAATCAGAGAGAATTGTACTTTCAAATGAATCAACGTTTTGATTAGGAATACCTGATGATACGTCACTCGGTTGAGAAGCTAGCGTGGGCGTCTCCTGTTGCGAGCTGGAGAGGGAAGGTTTCCCAGTTCCATCAGAAGCTTTACCAGTTGTTGGATAGCTGAGGACTGAAAACCCTTAAGAGACTGATTATACTTGCCAGAACCAGATCTTAAAAACTTAATAAATTGCACGGCCAGCAATGACGAACCTTTGGCATTCAGATGAAGTCTACTACCATTTAATGCTGAGGCGTCAATAACCGAATTATCAATATAAGTAAAGTTATTATCTACTGCTGTGAGCTTGACCCTCTCATTAACTTCAATGCGTTTAGCATCGACGTTGATATCTTCTCTGTAGACTATACCCGAGAGACCAATGCTTGAGTTAGGAAACTTGCTCTTCACCTTCAATACAAGGCTCTTGATATCGGCGACACATGAATCGGCAGACTCCGACGGAAGATTGTTGGTGCCAGTATGGATGATGACGTGAGAAGGATCCGCGGATGCAACAGCGATGTTGTCAACAGCTTCAGCTATTTCAGCAGTGGTTTTCCCGGGATATGAGAATTTATGTACATGTCTTTGCGAAAGCTTTTTTGGATCAATGTGTTTTATCATTGAGTCACCAATAAGCACTATGGGTCTTGTCTTTCCGACTTCACCGCTTTTGGAGTTATTTGCACTAACTCGAGAGGTATTTGCGTGCGCTCCAGACTGATGCAGTGGCATCTCAGAGGATACTTGACTCGAAGGAGAAGAGACAAGTAAGGCCTGATAGCGGTTATGACTAGTTGGAATTGAATCAAATGCCCGGCTCGCTTCAGATGAATCAACATGTGAATGTTGCTGTTGCTGTTGTTGGCGACTTTCTTCGTTATTTGCAGTATAGTTGTCCTCATTTCTCACTTGGAATTGTACCTCACTTCTAAGGGGCTCAAATCTGTTCTGAGTTACTATATTGCAGGCCGCCAACGGCCGTTGGATATGTTTATCATTCACACTTTTCCCAAGTGTGCCCACTTGGGACCAACAATCACATATCTTTTGTTGGCGGCATTCGCCCTCGCTTCTTTCTTGCATAATGATCTTCATTGCCAGCTTAAGAGAATCATTTTCTTGTTGCAAGGACAAAACTTGGCTCTCATAGGAAAAACACTTTTCCTCCAACACCTCAATTTCATTATCTTTTTTAGATAATGTCGATAACACCTTCTCATACCTCTCTTTGTAATCGAGGAGCTCGGCGCTAAAAGCGGTTTCTTGTAATTTGCATTTCGTCGACAGAAGGCTTGTATTTGCTTCAACCTTTTTCTGAAGAATTAGTAAATCCAGTTTTAAGCCCTCAATATCAGCACTGATAACCGAGTTCGATCGCTCTTGAATACTGTTCTCAAGTTCGGCGTCGGCGGCCGAAGCTAGTCGATTACTGCAGATGCCATTGGCTTCTTGCGAAGGCGGAATTTCTTGCTCGGTTGTTGAAGCATACGAGACAGGCGTATCAGCTTCTGTTCCCTGTTTATTTTGAATAAACTTGACCAACTTGTCCTTTAAGGAGGGACCATCTCGACCTTGGAAACAAAGGGTTAGCTGTTTCTTATTATACCAGTTGATGACAAGATTATTGTTAGAACTTTTGAATTGCTTTACGTTTCCTCCGGGCGACGACCACTTTCCTTGTAGTTTCAAGCCATTTTCCACAAAATTCTTTAACGATTCAAGGTTATTCGTCCACGTTAATCGTTCCCCGTTTAGCTTAAGGGATTGTAATTCGCACCATTTAAGGTTAAGCTGGTAAGACTCGGTATCTTTCGTCAAAACGGGACCAGAAGGTTCACGTCCGTCCGCCATGGTTCACGTCGACACTTACCGATCCTTTATATCAGGAGAGACAAAATTGCTTATCAGCACCAGTGTTCTGGAGGAAGGCCTTGATGTGCCTGTATGTAACCTGGTCATCCGATTTGAAGGGGCGGCTACATTGCGTGCACTTGTTCAAACAAGAGGGCGTGCTTCTCGTCGCCCTGGCAGCAAGTTTGTAGTGATTTGTCATGGAAAGCAAAAACAAGAAGCTGAAGATGTAGTTCTGAAAGAAAGGAACATGGAGGAAGCGATAAGACATCTGATGGAGAACAAGACGCAAAAACTGCAGTCAGAAGACTTTGGATGTGAAGTGAAACGTCTCGTTTCTTTCTTCCCCACAAGTAAAGAGACCATTGAAATTGCAAATAAGGAGTATAATCCGCAAGTAAGTATTTCAGTACACCATCTTGAAACTCAAGAGCATCGACAACACGTTGTAGAATTTTTGAAACGAAAGTTTGAGGTTATGCCAATGGAAACAATTCCGCATTCCTCGTCGAGCAATGAAGGAAGCAGAAAGCAAGATTTAAGCTTTGACCTGAAGCCTAACGAAGACGGAATTTGTAAAGAATTCAGATCCAAGGAAGGTTTCATATTTCACGTGACAGAGGAGTGGTGTTCGTACCTGACGAAACCTGAAGAGGAGCCACTTCCAGTTTGGCTCAAGGCATCGTTCACCAAGAAACGACACAAGACAGACGACACTTTTCATTCGTTTTGGGCAAATTCTATGTTTATCGGGACGTTTCTCACTCGGTGCCATTTTCGATATCAGTGGCCCTCGGAACCCACCCTGCAGAATGCTCTGATTTACTTTGATCACAGCCTCAAGTTATTGACGATAAGATTTAAGACGTATAAGCTGGAACTCCGGTATGAAGAACTTGAAGATTTTCTAATCGTCAACTGTGACGTGGCCTCTGGTGTAATCAAATTGTTTGTCACCATAAAGCACCCACCTCGATTGTTTCAATCTGTTTATCAAACCTCTCTGGAAGTTGGTGATTACAACGAGCAGGACCCGCTTGAAAATGACGATGACGACTTTCTGCAAGTTGATGTTGATGATACACGGGGTGAATTGTCGGATGATGAGAGTGAATCGGAATCCGACAGCTTCTCGACTGATGAAGAGTACCCAGATCCAATCAGCGAGCGTCCCTTACGTCACGAACACTGTTTTGACAAGATTGTTTGGGAGAGAGTGCCTGATATCTGGAACAGCGGAAAAGCTTGGGCCCATTGCTATACGTACTGTTTTGTACTTCCCCGCAAGGAGTCTTCCCGGATCAGTCACTTGTTGTCCAGAATCCAGAATCGATGCAATAAAAATACATTTTATTGTCGCGTGAAGGAGAGCTTTGGCAAGCTTCCAGTTACAAATATCCCCCATAATTTGCCATTTGATGTAAAGTATGCGACACAGGCTGTTCTTTCGCGGCATCCAGTAATGCGTAGAAAGATGTCTTTGACTTTCAGTGAACTTTTGCTAAACAAGTCTTCCAGTGTAGTGTGCCCAGCACTTGAGCAGTTGAAGAAAGCTCTGGAACAAGATTCGTTCTGTGATCCCGAAAAGGCCTTCAAAGCATTTCTAAGCCAAAACAACCCTTCAGCTTACGGGTTTCTAAACAGGCTCATCCCAGGCCATTGTGCTCTGATAAAACGTGCAGTCATCACCCCAACACGACTACTTCTGTACCCACCGGAAGTCATGATGAAAAATCGCGTACTTAGAGAGTACGACATGGAGAGTTTCCTGTGTGTCACCGTACGTGATGAGGACCTTTCCAAACTCTCTGCAGGACGAGGAAGTCTGGATCCAGTGCTCGACAGCATTAACCGTGTCCTGGATGAAGGACTGGACATAGCTGGTCAACGGTTCCAATTTTTAAGCTCATCAAACAGTCAGCTCCGTAACCATAGCTGCTGGTTTGTCGGGCCAAAGTATGAACCAGACATTATACGGAGATGGATGGGAGACTTCAGTCATATCAAGTAAGTCCCACATTTACAGTTATCAAGTTGTATTGAAAATGCTGAAAGGATAGAAGGGCATCAAAGGCGATAATGAAAACTAAGTAAACTTTAAGCTTCTTAAATCGATAAAATAGACAAAGTTTATTTCCTAGATGATTAGTTCATATTACAGTGCGACTACTCGAACCGGGGAACTTGAATGAAGATTATCCAATTACAACGTTTTTTGAAAACAAATGATTGTCCAGTTTTTTTCCGGCGAACGGACCAATAAAATTCATAACTTTAACAGCTGTTTCCCTGAAAGGTCAGGTAAATTCAAACCGTTTTGAAGTTGTCAACGATTGTATAGTTTAACCTAGAATTTGAGGTCCGTTTGCAAAAGACCTTGAGAGACTTTTGTTTTCAAAACACGTTGTGATTGGATAATCCTCTTCCAAGTGCTCCGGTGCGAGTGGTCGCACTTTAAACGGAAGCAAAGAAAGGCAAACACTACCGAGCCACTTTTTCTCATGTTCTATCCGAAAAAAAAACAAGATGTAGCTGTTATTTCAAGGTTTCAAAGGTAATTCTAAGGGTCTGTTAGTTAAACGAAGTCCAACTTAGGCCGTGGTTTAAGAAATCATGGACCTCCAGATCTCTTTCTTTAAAGCCTGCGTAACAAGCGTTTCCAGCAGTCGAGTTATAGCGCGAAAGTTAGAGAGGGAGCAAAAAAATGGAAGGGGGAGGGGGAGGGGAGAAGAGGAAACGCTTGCCCGCAAACCCCATGATTCTGGAAAGCGCATCTTGATATTTCACGGTTCGGTTCATTTGTAAATTGACAGCTCGCAGAGATAGGTAACGAATAGATTACCAGATTTGAAAAATTTACTTTGTTCCCTCAAACACCCTCCACGCGACTGCCAAACCGTAATAAAAAGAAGCTTTACGATAAAAGAAGGTTGAAACTCTAAGCGATTGCTGTGGAATTTCTTGTTCTTTATAGTTAACTTAAATTTTGAACGCTATGTGGCTTTATCTATCCTGCGAAAACATCCGTTTCTCCTCGCTCTTCCCCAGCGGCGAAGAGCGAGGAGAAACGGATGTTTTCGCTGGCTAGGCTTTATCTTATCTGAAACCTTGTCAAAACGTCGCAAAGAAATGATTTGTCCGGAACGATTCACTCCGCCAGCTATGAGTTTTGCAGAGCGGCTGCTCTCTATAGGCCAGCCAGTGTCGAAAAGTTCACTACAATAAATGCGGCTCAATTTCCAATCACTTGTCCATGGCGGCTCTAGCTAGTGTCTAGTACCGATGTTCTGATTTACGTTGATGTTATCTCCAACAAACAGTCCATTTATTCCAGTCACATACGCACGCCGTCATTCCAAATAAATTGCTCAATCTCCAATTATATTTTTGATCGAAGGGACTCGGATCTGATAAACCTTCGCACAAACATGATTCAAATAAATATCAGACCAAAGCATTTGTAATCTGCGATCACAAATCAGGTCAGACCAGATCTGCGACGCATATAAACAAAACATACCTGGTTTGATCGACGTTGATTCCTATTAAATCAACACTGCGAGCACCGCACGAATGAAAAGCTGCGTTCGTGGGGGAACGCAGTTTTTCAAAATCGTGGGTTTGCGGGCAAGCGTTTCCTTCTCTCCCCTCCCCCTCCCTCTCCCCCGTCATTTCTTTTTCTTTTTTTGCTCCCAACTTTCTCGACGAATTCGCGCTGAAACGCTTGCTGCGCAGGCTACTTTCTTAGTGGCTTAATTTGAGAAAAGAAGTGCTTTTCCAGTCTACGCTATATGCTTTATTGAAGTTTTTCGCTATAAATGGTATTTACATAAAAGCCTTGGGCAAACTGAAACAGGCTTAGAACGCGGTTATGGCAAACACGGGCAAAACTCCGTTTGAATTACTGGCCCTAAGAGTTCAATTCACCCGCACTAATCTCCAGGGAAGAGAAGCAACGTTTCCATCCAAATTATGTCTCCTACACTCTTATATCTTGTAATACCGTCCCTGTCTCGTGTACAGAGGAAGGCAGCTGAACCTTTCTGGGCGTGTTTTTTCCCTTCAATTTAAGGTGTGTGGCCTCGTACGTGGCTCGCATGGGACAGTGTTTTTCTACCTCTACAGACACCGTGGGTATTGGTATCAGCGAAGGTACCCTAAGAGAGATGGAGGAAGACGTGACGGTCAAGACAGTTGACCAGGAATACTGTTTCTCTGATGGAATTGGTAGAATATCAAAAGAACTTGCCGCAGAGGTAAGACTATAAGGAGACATTTCTCCGTGCATTCCTTTGAAGGTCTACCTCGCTTGTCATCGTCTCTCGCACCAGTGACATATTTGCTCCATGCGCCGGGTGCGTGGTGAAGGGGTGGCCCTTGTTTACCGCGAAACGACTAAGCCGGTTTGAGGCTGTCATTTTTGTACGTTTCCTTTGACCCCGCGGGTCAACCCCCAAAATGCTGCTTGTTCCAATGAATATTTTCTCTTGCGGGTAGATTATGCTCTGGAGGGGTCTACATTTTGACTGAGCAAACTATGTGATTTTTGTGGCTTGTTTCGTGCTGAGAGTTCGTAACACGCATATTGATTTTCTGCGGTTATTGTTTCTGGTCGGCATGATGGATGATTTGCCCTCTGATGCAAGAGCGCTTTGTTTGACTTCTTTTGAAATATAAAGTTTTTTTTTTTATTTCTGCTAAATAAGGGTTTTAGGTTGTCTAATTTTCTCCAAAGTCCCTCCTTGATCTGAATAACTGAAAGCGATTTTCTTTTGTCCGTGAATGTGATGGTTTCCTACAATGTCGACTATGTTTGTGATAAAGTCAGTAAGAGTATTAATATTATGACAGATAAAAAGTTATCTAGGAAATCAATGTTTAACTAGTATTTACTATTCTCTCGTTTACCCTTATCTCATATATGGTTGCTTATTGTGGGGAAATAATTATAATAATCCATTATCACAGCTCATACGTCTACAAAATAAAGCAGTTAGAATAATGAATGACGTTCCTTTACGAGATCATATCACTCCTCATTATGTTTATCTAGGTTTATTAAAATTTCGTGATATTGTTAAAATTTTCAATTGTTTGTTTTTATATGATTATGTCTATGATAATAAGCCGTGTAATTTTCCATTATTTCTTGTATCTGAGCAACATAATTATTTTACACGAAGTGCATCTGCTCAGCAATTACGGCACATTCCCCACTCATTCAGGAATTAATATTCGAAAGTTTTGCCGTACCGTCATTAGAAAATACTATTGGAACGATCTCCCCCTTTCTATTCGCAATAAATCATCGAAAATCCTGTTCAAAAAGGCACTTAAAAAATATTATCTTGCTCAATATTGACCTGTGTGCGTGTGTGTGCGCGTGCGTGCGTGTTTGTGTTTTAATGAATAACAAAGCGAAAAAAGAATAAAGTCAATCTTGTTAAAGGGCCATAATTAGTTTTACTATAATGTGCCCTTCTCCATTCTATTTTTTTTTTTCTTATGTACACGTAGCTTAAACAACCTTGTACTAATTAACATTGTACACTGAACTAATGTATTATCTATAGGATGGAGTAAAAATAAAATACAAATGAAATACAAATGTTTTGTCACGCTGGGCCCAGCTCGTTAGTGTTTTTGCAAGATGTTAAGTTCTCACAGATCCTGATTCACAGATCTAAATTTCGAAGAATGGATTGCAGCTTAAACTGAAGCTACTATGAAGAACTACGTTGTGAGTCTGTCAAGATTGCTCTTAAGCAATGATTTTTAAACTCCAGCATGTTCTTATAAAGAGATCTAAAGATAATGTGAGTCTGGACTGGAGCGCGTAGATAACTCCTTCTTGCGACTGTTCTGTTATCGCCACTTTGTTATCAGGCAAGACCGAAGCAGGTCTGCAGGATTACAAAAGCATCTTTTCCTCGCGCAAAGTTCACACAGCAGGTCTTCTGTTCCTTCCTCAGCGCTTGTATGTGCGTAAACATTCTTTCAACACAGAAGTTACCGTGGATTGCTGTATTTCACGCGCGTGGACGCCGCACGCAATCTTTCCGAGTGACAGGAACGACCCGCTTTGAGAGTATTGATATAATCTGTCAAATCTGACCAATCAGAGGGTATACCAGCTCCACCGCCCCTGCCTTCCCCAGTTTCCTCCCGTTAATTTTCGTGTTTGCGCTTTCTCAATTTAGCGGACCCGACTATCTCGGAGCATGGAACAGGCTACCCAATCATATTGTTAAAAGAGAGATAAGGAAAAGCCACCGTGTCTTTCGTCACATATTCATCTTTTGTGTTTGTTTATTATAGGTTGTCAAGAAAATGGCAAAGCCGTTCAAACCATCTGCCTTTCAAATTTTCATTTTTGGCGCCTAATCGGTACAGCTACACAAGCGCAAATCAATTATACTCAATAAGCGTAATCTTTAAATGCATTTGGTCGATGGTGATAATGGCAACATTATAATTATTGAAGAAAGGTCAGCTTTAAAGTCACGTTTACTGCAAACGGCAAACATCAGATTCAAGTTGGAAATTCTCAAAATGGAAAATAGCAGACAAAACAGCTCCAAACAATTCTTATAGATAAAAATGGCGTAAAATTACTTAATTTTTGGAGAAGTATTGAACAGCAAACAACAAGAAAAGAGAAAAATTCGGTCACGTGGTATAGATTCACATTTGCGGTTTGCCGTAAACGTGACTCGTAATCTCTCTATCAACTGCATAATTATCTGTGAAAAGTCCTTTTTATCATGATTTTCTTATCAGGAATGCTTGTTAATGAAAACGATGCTATCGAGTTGCTGGGTACTGGAGCCAAAATAGGTGTGCCTTATAAAAGTTTATCAAGCTCGGGAATACCGCTGACAACTGAGCCGTTCTTTAAGTCCTTGCTTGTTGCCATGTATCGAAATCACATACACGAGCTACTCTCCCGCTCCCGAATCCTTCTGCCACCGGAGGAAGTAAGTTTGATGATGGGTGTAATGGACGAGCTTGGTGTATTAAAACCAGGACAGGTTTGTTGCTTTATTTGCATTATTTTAGTACGAGAGTTAATGGTGTTTTTGATTTTTCATTCTAGAATACAGACAAACTTGTTCAACGCAAATACGTATTTTGCTGCCCCATTCGCGCGATTAGTACACACTATTAAGCGGCCGTGACACGTTCAGTTTATGAATTGCTGAAAAGTAGTTGCTTAGTTTGGTACTCGCATTCTGCAACCTGATGTTTGTTTTATAATCTTTATTGATGTGTTTGATTCTTCACTTAGTCAAGTTGTGTGACCTCTTGAACTAATAAGGTAATTAGGTGCAACATTCTTCTTCAATTCAGGCTAAATGACAGCACGTTATTTGCTACACCAACATTCCTGACGGGCCTATCATCTTTTCATTCAAACATCAACAAGTCAGCGTAGAATATTTCAAGTATTCCACAAATATTCAGCTATTAACTTAACTAATTGACTTGTGTGAGATAAGCTTGGAACAACGTGATCGCTTAAAAGATCTCCGATTAAAACTTTCAAAACCTTTTGTTAAACGGATGGGCAGGTCAATTTTTCAACTCATGCGTTGTTACGTACATTTATTACGTTAGGTTTACGTACAGTATTCTGCAGTTTCCACTCGTGTAGACCGCGAGGACCAGTTCAACATGAGCAGGAAATTTGTTGTTACGGGGCCTTTAGTAGTAACCAGGAATCCATGCTTGCATCCAGGAGACGTTCGCAAACTTGAGGCTGTTGACGTCCACGAACTTAGCCATATAGTGGACTGTGTGGTTTTCCCTCGATGGGGATCGAGACCTCACTCTAATGAAATGGCAGGTAGGGTTTGTGACTCAAAAGTGGTCGCAGGGGTGAACGGGGCTGTTTTCTTAAGGTAAAAGAAAGGAAGTTCTTCTGTCTTTCGGTACTCTCCCTCTTAGTACTTCTGCACATTTTGGCCGTGTGTTTGAAGCCTCCCCCCAAAAATGGTTGTTGTTTACAATTACGGACCCTTTACTGCCCTCAAATATCTTTTGTCCTTCATCCATCCCAGGTCGTTCTTGCCCTCTTTTGTTGATGGCAGCTACTAAATATGCACATATCTACAGCATGAGGCCTGAAGAAGGTCGCTTTCATTTAAGCGTCATGAAATTCTTGGCCTAAAAGCAACCAAAGCATACTGTCCTACAGTTAATAGTATTTGTATTTGTATTTATTTATTTGCCACACGATTACAATAATTACAAAGAAATGCCAAAAAAAATGTTGGAAGAAATGGCGAGGAGGCCTAAAGGAAACTATAGAGCTTATGTTAATTAGGCCTCCTCAATTACAATTTTTCGAAGATGGCATAAAAATTACGGCGACGGATACAAAATAATATCAGGTGGAAAATTAAACTAATCAATATTACGGAAGTTTACAAATAATGTTGAATATTAAAAGGCTTTTTCTCAAGATTTCTGTTGGAGTATACTAATAATTATTACAAATAAATGCCTTAAGTGTTCTTTTAAAGGAAAAAGGTGAGGAAGCGTTGATGATGTTGGTGTTTAAGGTGTTGTAAAATTTAGGTCCTTGATAAAAACGGAAAATTGTTTGGTTCGAGTACGACAGAAAGGGGTCTTAAGATCCAAGGACGCAATGGCAGCCAAAACGTCGCTTATAAAAAAGTGCATTTGCGTTTGTCCGGACTATCGCGATTATTGCTACCCACGTACTTACTTTGTCAAATGTAGGCGAACCATTCTGGAGCTGAATTTCCAATTTCCAATTTCAGAAAGAGAAATATTGTTATGCCCTCTATAAAACGCAAACTTAGGAAATTTCTTGTCCTAGTCGTGCAAAAACGGCAAAAAAATGTACAAAATAGTGTGATGCTTGTGCAAAGTTGTTTTTTTTTCTTCTTAACCTTTTTTTTTTTTGACGTTCTCGTTGCCGTCGTCTCGTCAGATCTTAAAGTTCCTATTCTCCGCGTTTCGCGCACGTGATCTTAGGGTACACCAACATTGGTCCAACATCCCAATACAGACAGATTATTGGTAGCCAATGTGACTTCATTGAGGATACTGTTTTGATCAGTTTGAATTTGCCTCAATACAATACAGTCAACAAGACGGGAGAATAAGTGTCTTGATCGCATGATTAGAATTAAATAGAGCAATTATTTCAATTTTAGGTGGTGATTTGGACGGGGATCTGTACTTCGTTTGTTGGAACCAAGACTTGCTACCAAGGAAACCAAATTTCCCGCCAATGGATTACCAAACCCTGGAAAAGCTCGAACAATTAGAACCAATCACAGCCGCCGACATAACTAAGTTTTTGGTCAATTACATTCGATTTGATCAGCTAGGAGTGATCGACAACGTCCATAAGGCGCTAGCAGACCAAGAAAATGATGGTGTTGAATCTGAAGTCTGTCTACATTTGGCAAAGGTACATTCTTCAGCAGTAGATGCGCCCAAGACAGGCAAGTTGCCAAAAATGCAGGGCATCGGAGAGATTAAGGCATACCCTGATTTTATGATGAAACGTGATAAACCTAGTTACCCATCAGACAAGGTTTTAGGAAAGCTCTACCGTCGCTGTCGCAAGTTTCAAAACGCGGCGTCTGAGAAGTATAACCAGAAAATGAGAGTCGACAAGTCTTTTCTCCAGCAAGGTTATGACAGGTATATTGAAGAAGCCAACGAGTTATACCGGCAGTACCGAGACAAAATGCAGGTTTTAATGAGTTTGTACGGCATTGAATCAGAGGCTGAAGTCTTCACTGGCTGCTTTCTAAAGCTTCGAAATCATCTGAGTAAAGAGAAAACAGAGATTGCAAAAATTGTTGACAGCCTCCTCTTCAAAATGCGGTTGGAATTCCGAAGCATAGTCTTCCACCAGTTCAATGTGAATGGGCAACATTTGTTGGAGAATGAGGATATCACAGATGAGATGCTCCTCAAAGCTTCAGCATGGTACACTGCAGCATACACGCATGCGCATGATCAAAGGAACGACACGGACCAAAGTCACCAAAAGCGTTTGCTCGGTTTTCCGTGGTTTGTTAATGACGTCATGCTTGCCATGAAGAATCTCAAACAACCGCTTCACTTGTCCCAGAGCCTGAATGTTAACACAACCATAGGTGAGAGTTTAGCCAGACTGTTCAATGAAGATAAGACCTGGCTACTTAATCAGCTTTTTGAAAGAGTAACAACAAAAAACTCGATTGTGCGCCATCTTAATGACGGTCTACCCCAGCATTCGATGATTGTGACTGGTTCATCAGCCACGCTTCTGTTTCACGAGAATTCAGACCTGGATATTTGCGTCTTACCACAGGGTACCCAGAAATTGCATGATGTTTCTGTTGCTTCACAGGAAATGTATCACATTTCAGCATTCCTCTCGGGTCTACTGGAAGAATGCAATATGCCGCAACGGTCACTTGATCCAATGAACTTAGATAGAGAGCTTGCAGATCCCTCTGAAGTGAATGACATCCCTGTTCAAGATCAAGTGAAGTCACTCGAGAGGCTGATACCACACCTAAAAGAGACTCAGGTGCAAAAAGGCGAAAAGGGGGATCCAAAAAATTTGTTTCATAAAGTTGATCTTGTCGGCAAAAAGACGTTTCCGGTAAGTACGATATTTCTGTTACTACAATCAAACATTCCATGAGTGAGCACTGTAAATACCAAGCCTAGCCGGTCACAGACACAGTCACCACAGTCACAATGAGATGAAGTTTGAATTGCCTTATTTTGAATTATCTCAGCCTTTCTGGAATCAGTTGTTAAGAAGCTGGATAATGCTACCGAATGAATAAATCACTAACAAGCATATACCAATTTCAGCTCCCTAATTTGTCCAATTTTCGCTAATCACCTTTATTATAAACCACGGGGCTTGGTGTCTCTAGGTATCGCCCAAAGTAGAACAAAATATGTTTAAATCTTTAATCTTGCTACAAAATCCTAGCTACTGACCTAATTTTTATCTTTTTTTTTTAGATCCTTGTTTGCAAGCATCCCACAGGGAGGTTGTTAGATGAAATCAAATTCTCCACAAATCTTGTCTGCGATTTGATTACTTCTCCAAACAGTTTGCCAATTGCAGTTCTTTTGTCAAGCTACATAAAGTCATATCCTCATCTCTTGTTGGTTCTCCGTGTCATTCACCGTTGGTGTTATGTGACAGGCCTGTCACGAAACAAAGCTGGTGCTGGAAACACGTCGAATCTAATGGCCTCCGTACTTCTATTTCAGTGCATGCGCGAGGGGCAAATTCAAAATTTCAACGAACGTCACATTTCCTCACAGATATGTAAACTTATTCGAGGAGCGATGACAGAAAGTGACATGTACGTGGAATGGAAAAAAGTAATTCGCCTTCTTGGTGACGATGCTGGTGAAAACGCAAATAGCACACACCTCCCCACCCCCAAACTTGGTGAAATGCTCATGAGGTTTTTTAAAGCGCACAAGTCGTTTTTTGAAGAAGAGGTTCCAGATCCCTTGGCGCGTATCTTGCGCGCTCGTAAATTTGCAGATCTGTTGGACAAGGATCACGTGAACTTGGTGAAGGAACATATGCGCCGTGCTTATCAGCTGTTAGCACTGTATGGTGATGTGCAAATCATGTTGGCCATAAGTGGTTCTGAAGATTACAGCGTGATTCATCTGTCACCTCTCCTTTCTTCCTTCTTCGCAGGTGTCGAGAAAAGTAAGGCTCTAGAAATTACGAGGAAGACTGGGGCAAGGAGTGTCGTTATCTGTCCCAAGATCCCGCGATTACGTAATTCAGCTATCTTAGAGGTGAAGGGAAGTGAACCCACGATTCGCGCAGTGGAAGTAAAGCTCGACAGAATGGAAAAACAGGCATCACGTGACCGTGTATCACTGATGAGCGGCTGTTTGGTGGAAGATGCTAGTGTTGTCTTATATGAAGGGAGTCGACACGAAAATGATCTCGTCTCACTGACACCGTATGACGGGCCATGTCATCAAAAACATGATAACCTTGCGCGTCATGTAGCCTTGGTAGCCAGTCGTACTTTCAACAATAAGTATCCGCTCCGACGATTCACAGAGAAATTCTTCCAGCAACTTAAGGTATGTCAACCTGTTACTATTTCATGTTCCCACAGATCCCTCCCAGCGATAAAAATTTAATTGAGGATCTATTCATAGGAAATATACTTGCTGAAATCGCCACCCGGACTCACTGACACCGTATGACGGGCCATGTCATCAAAAACATGATAACCTTGCGCGTCATGTAGCCTTGGTAGGCAGTCGTACTTTCAACAATATGTATCCGCTCCGAGGATTCACAGAGCAATTCTTCCAGCAACTTAAGGTATGTCAACCTGTTACTATTTCATGTTCTCACAGATCCCTCCCAGCGATAAAAATTTAATTGAGGATCTATTCATAGGAAATATACTTGCTGAAATCGCCACCCGGTTAGCTCAATTGGATCAGCGCCGGCCGTCTGCTGTGCTGACGGCCGCTGGTCGATCAAACCCGGACCGGACCAAGACTCAGAGTCTTAAAATAACTGGACTACGAGCAGTCTCTCTTTTTACTTGGTCCACATAGCGACACGTGCGTTACTGAAGGCGCGAGACGGGAGAGGCACGAAAAAAGAGAGACTACCACCAAAGCCAGAGAGAATGGTCTTTCACAGTCTATTGATTTTTTTGGTATGAAAACCGCAATCTAATTAACCGTATCCAATATTGCAAAAGTGTTGACAAGCCAAGCACCTGAAAAGTGACCTAAGAGTTTGCTTGAACAACAACAGAGATTTTCCTTCTCTTTTTTTTAACGCGTAGGTTATTCAGTGCATTTCAGTAAATCTTCACCTAATTGAGTCAGTCAAGATCATTCGTTGGGCGCCGATTTTGTTCTTGAGATAAGCGAGTCTTTGGACTGGACTATACAGCGGTGTCCTGTAGTTAATCCGTTGGCAATTACTTTCGTTTTAGCTTTGATAAAGAACCTAAGAGTCTTCCAGTCTATGCGACTTTCTGTTACAAGTTCTAAAGCAAGACCGCCGTTTTGGAACTAAAGCGTTCCTCGTCAGTTGCTACTATGGTCAAGTCTTAGTAAAGAGAGGCTTTGAGCATTTGGATTGCGATCACGTCACGTCCCGTGATGAGACCTTCTAATGCTTTTCTTTGCTTTGTATGTAATGTTTCTATTTTCTGGAAACGTGACAAACACTCAGCAGTGCTTCAACCATCATCATCTTGTCAACGTTTCCGATTATTGACAATCTTTTGTTAACGCTTCAAGCCTCACTCAATCGTATTTTGCTTTGTGAGGCCAATGCATGATTCGTTTGTTCTGGCTATGGAAGCAGTCTCTCTTTTTTCTTCTTGGGCTACCGCTCTCGTTTCTCGCGTCTCGCGACCACGACGCTCGCCCGCGCGTGCACTTCCCTCACTAAATCTGAAGAAAAAGAGAGACTGCTTGCAGTCTGATTAAATATTTGGGGAGAAAGCGTTGCCTTCTTAAAGACATCTTGCAAACGGTTAGACTTTCTAGTCTTCTCTGATAAGAACAATAAATCGTAAGCCCCGTCACACACCCCTTGTACGTTTTAATTCTATGGGACGTATAAGAACACACTGTTCGTAAAGAGTAGGGGATCTAGTAGGTGGGTGGTCTATCTTTCATGGGGGGAGGAACTGTTACGGCCTCGCAGTTATTGACGGTACTCGCTGTTGCGGTGACCTTGCCAAGAATTGGCGAATATAAGTATATAATAAACAAACAAAATAGATTTATCTATAGCTTACACTTATAAACCACTGATATCTATCCATAAGTTTATTTAAAATACGCTTAGTTTATGACGAAAAAGAATTTATCCTCGTGTTATATCACTATTTCCATGTTTTATTTCAGGTAGTTGAAAGAGATTTTGATTCCCAGATTCATGGTCGTCTTGAATTTGCTGTTCACTTTGGGCGAGTTTACTTGTTTAGAGTACCACACTTGTTGCTGGAAGACGGTGAGCCCATCTCCATTGCAATGCTCAGGACGAACAAAAGGAAGACTGTTAAGCCAACCAGCGAGCCACATGTGCTTCCTAGAGAAGTGTCCTTCGCCGACGAACAGCAGGAACGCGCTCGTAGAAGAAAACGACGAGCAAAACAGACTATTGCCTGTAAAAGCAACAAAAAAAAGCGAAAGCGCGGAAATCCTTCGAGAAGCGCGTTTTACACTTCTGTTCATTTCCCAGACAGGGTAAAGAAGTTTCTTCACAAATGTAAATTTTTTCCCGACAACAACATCATAGAGAAATACACAGTGGATATTTGTCCAAGTACTGAAGATATTGAGTTTTATGTTCGACTTGACAACCAGCTTCGTTTCATCGACATCAAGTTTCCAAATCTCCGCTGGTGTATGGTTGATTTAAAACGAACCTGGAAAGCATGCTCAAATCATGACGTCAGGGAAGGTGCCCAAGCAGTTGGTGGCGTAATGTACCCAAAAGGTCACGTGACCCAGTGTGACACTCGCGCGAGTGATGACATCATCCTAGATGGTTTGGAGACGGATATACGCTTTCTTTTGCACTCTCGTTATGAAATGTCGCAGCAAGACATCCGGGATACAAAGTATGCGCAGTATCAGCATGTACTTCGATCGGGAAGTGAAATGCAGTCTGGAAAGCCTTTTGTCGTCAAAGAAGATCAGTGGAAGGATGTTCGACTAATTCGTTTCATCAAATCAACAAAATTCAAACGAGATTCAGCAAAAAGGGATTTTATGTCGAACTTGACGGTTTATCTTGACGAAGTAACGGAATACTCGAGACCATCTCATCAAGTGGGTGTTTTCCAGAAAGAGATCACTCGATGGGAATTGTCTATAGAAGCAGCGCTTCCAGAAGATCTAACCGAAAAAGAAACAGTTGAAAGGTTTTTGCATGAACTCTGGGAATATTCGTTTTCCTTATCTTCCTTTCTCTCGGCTTAAAACGATTTCAAATTTTTTGATAATTATGTACGTTAATCCTAAATTCTAAAATTTTCAACTATTTCGAGGTATTCTCTTTTATCTTCGAAATTCAACATCCATGTTCCCTTGAACTTTGCCACCCAGTACTAGGGGAAAAGGAGTACCTTAAAGTTTTAGGGGACTATAGAACGGTTGAGCTTTTCTAGGAACATTGCAAGGCCTTTTTCTTGGAAAACATATAACTTAAAAGTTATCTAGGGAGCTCAAAAGGGAGAAAGTACTCTAAAAAAGTGTCTTCAAATATTCCCAAATGATTATCCTAAATATATTTCAAAATGATTTCGCCGCTTACTTATTATATTTATTGTCTTAGGTTAGGGAGGGAGCTCATGTAATGAGCCCGCACAGTTTCCTTTGAGGTTCCTAGCCGCAAAAATACCTCCAATTCTCACAACACTCAGTCTTACAGCCATGTTTCTTTTATTTTATTTCATTTTTTTTTTCCAAACGATGTTAATTAGAATTCCGGCTGCTGTATTTGATTTAGAAATATGGACGATAATCATCCTGCACGACATTCATGTAAAGCAGGCACATTTTATTTTTACAATTTTTTAATAGCTTTAATTTGTTGATTTTTTAAACCCTTTTTGCTTGATGATTATGTTACCGTGTATAAATAAAGTGAGACAATTACAGTTGTTAGGAAGACTAAAAAATAAATCTAATTTTATTGTCAAGCAATAAAACCAATTCTGTTTAATGTCGGCATCGTTTTGGAGGCAACGGGTTTTGGAAATTAAAATGAGTAATTGATTCTGGTTGTATTGATCATGATTTATCAAAGATAAAGTTTTCTCGAAAAAACTGCTGAAAATACCCGCATTTACCAAGTCAAACGCCGCAAGGGGGAGCAAAATTGGAATTCGGGTTATCTCGGTCCATCAAAGTGCTTCCAAAAATTGGAAAATGTTGTCACCCACCTTAAGGGACCAGTTGTGTGTCGTTGCTTTTAGATGGGCATTTAAATAAATCACTGACTCCGCTA